CCTTTAAGAAGTTCATTTTTTGCCTCAAATAACAATGTTGGATAGAAAAAGTGGTCTTGGTGGATCGAAATAATATATGAACCTTCAAAATTAGAATTCCATCCTGGACCCAACTCACAAGTCTTAATAATTATAATCCCTGGGGCCTGGTTTGCCCTAGCCCCTATGCAGGCTGTGCTCCCCATTTTCAAATTTCCATTTGTCTTAGGTATATTAGTAGTTATCAGTTATTTAAGCAATCCTGATAAAAAATAATGACAACCTTTCAGATTCAAGGAAAAGTTGCAACTTCAAAGCTAGCTGCAAGGATAGTGGAGTTCACTCAACTGAATCAAGTAAACTGTCAGTGTCAAGTACCTAATTTTTTAGATGCAAAATTTTAAAAGGATATACCTAAAAGGTATTGTAGAATCATAATATAGAATGAGACTGACAGTCTGACAAATGACAATTTGTAATCATTGTATCACATGTATCATGTAATTATATCGTAATCATTTTAATCACGTGTAAATTATGTAACAACTGAAAGCCAAATGTTCAATCAAATGACTTACATTTTCCGATAAAAGGTGGCACATCTGGTTTGGAAAAGTTGTATGCTTCAAATGCATTGACATATGATGTTCGGGTAGCGAAGTGCGATTTGCTTACAGTCTGATCCAAGCAAAATTTCTGGGCACGGGCAGCATTTGCTAATGTGTAAAAGGAGAGTAGCGTTACTGCCGTTACAAAACTGAGTACATTCATATTGTAACAAAAAATACGTAGTTTATCGAAGCTCAATTTTGATAGAATTCAGTAAGGACTCTAAATAACAAATTATGGATGTGTGTAATGCCGACACATGAGCTGTGGCAATTGAGGCAAACATAATGTTGTTGTTAGCTTTGTTTGAGATGTGTAGATGACCTCCTGCGGGCCAACTGTCACATCTGGACATGGCAGTGTTGATGGCTTTCTTGGGTCTTTCGATGCCCATATCGAGGAAATAGTCGCGCGCAGCCGGCAAAGGATAGGGTGGATATGGCGGATATTTCGAACGAGAGAAGCAGCACCAATGATTACACACTTCAGAGCCCTCGTGCTCCCAATCTTGAGTATTGCTGCCAGCTTTGGTCGCCACTCAAGGCGGGTACGGTGCGGAAACTGGAGGCAGTGCAGCGGACCTTCACGTACAGGATCAGCGGCATGAGGGAGCTGAACCTGAACTACTGGGGAAGGTTGAAACACCGGGAACTGTACTCACTGGAGAGAAGAAGGGAAAGGTATATCATACTGTACACTTGAAAGATGATAAACGGACTGGCTCCCAACTTGAGAGTGAGACCTCCAAAATAAGGACATATTACAACGAAAGAAGGGGGAGACGGTGCAGGATTCCCCCATTTAATAACCAAGCCGTGGCCAGAGTACAGACTCTTCGTGAGGGATCACTGTCCGCGGTAGGACCGAGGCTCTTTAATGCCTTGGCAAAAAAGCTGAGAGGAGGGGAGTTCACCCTTGCAACATTCAAGAGACGACTGGACAAGTGGTTGAGAAAGATCCCGGCAAGTGACAAGCAACAGCATCTTGCATCAGCTGGCCCAAAGAAGGGCAAATAGACGGAACACGTCCAACGTTACATCCGACGAAGACTCGGAGACGGAGGACGACGAAGGCGGCGCATCAGCGTGACCGGTGACTGGGAAGTCCCGAACTCATCATAAGGTCATAAGGCAAAAAGTGCTCTTTTCTTTTCAGGAATTTAGAACACATTTTGAAAATTAGTATACCACATCCAACGAGAGTTATACGTGTACGTTTGTATGTGGCGAATAGTTGATTGACTGGCGAATAGTTGACGAATAATTTATCGATTCCGGCGAATAATTGATCGTTTGCAGTAGGCGAATAGTCGATCTATATATATGAAGAATAACTAATCATGTGCGCGTGGCGAATAAGTGATTACACTCACGTGGCGAATAATTGATCGCATGCGTATGGCGAATAATTAATCGTGTGCATGTGACGAATAAGTAATCACTTACACGTGGCGAATAAGTGATCGCTTGCCCGAGGCGAATATTTAATCGTATGCGATGGCGAATAATTAATCGTTTGCATGTGGCGAATAAGTGATCGTTATCTTGTGACGAAAAAAATGACCTGTATGATTGATATAGCCTGCATGTGATTGATCGTTTGCATCTGCTGAATGTCGTATGTATGTCGTGTATGTGAGGCTCCGCTAATTTTGTTTATAGAGACCCAATCTAAATGCGGTGGACGACGTCTGAGTTGCCCATACTTTGGTGCGGAGGGCAAAAAGTGCTCTTTTCTTTACATGAATTTAGAACACATTTAAAAAATCAGTATAGCACATCCAATCATTTTAATCAACGTGGAAACTATTTAACCCTCTTTTCGATCAATATTTAGGTAATGCATTTAAATGAAAATTTATTCTATGTTTTATCGATCCGAAAATCAGTCTACGGCCTTCTACAAGAAAAATCCGAGCTGAGAATTAGAGTTTCCTCAGTCGGACTCACAGGGCACTAATTATTGTTAGAAGAAATGCAGTAATGAAGGTTTGGTCAATGCATTTATACTCGTTCGTTGTTTTATGAAAATTTGTGACAAATTCTGTATAAATTCCAAAATTCCAAATATTCATAGTTAGATAAAGTGTGGGTTGTTTTTAATTTATATGCAAAGTCAATTCTACTTTAGATTAGGAAATGACGGATTCGTTGCAACTTGTCATATGAACTAAGCATTTAAATCAAAGAAAACGCCCAAAAAATTAATTTTTTCTGCAATGAAAACTTATCAGAGTCCAGCTCCATCATCAGTACAAGAACTTCATTAATACGATTTTGACCAAAATAGGACCTACAAATTGCCTAAGGAATGCAAAACCTATTGCATAGGTTTGAACGGTTTCAAGTGGATACGAACTTATAACATCGTTTACTCAGGTGACGTCATAGTTTAAAGAAGGTGAGAGAGTACCACGGGTAGCTATCGCTACAAAAGTTTCACCACGATAGTATACTGCTAATCTATCCACCGCAGCTATTTATAACCGTCCAATTGTCAAACTCCGAAGAAGAGGATCAACAATGATTGAACCGTAACCGATGACGTGAGCTCTAGGTACAAGAGCAGCCACTTAAAGTGCTACTTTCGAGGTGCTACTTCAAGATCCCGAATAAATTTATCGAACTGAAACTTTGAACGCGTGCTGCGTCTAATCGTTACCAGGATTTCTAAGTAAAAGCCGAGCCAACTGCCACAACCAAATATGATTGAGGCTGCATCTTACCATCACAGAAGACCCGGAGCGGTACTCAATAGTAGCTCTATCGTCCCCTTAGATAATATAATTATTAGATATGATACATGAACGTGCGTTGATGTACACAATGGCACGTGCGGATCCTAAGCCATCAAAGTTCGTTGATGCATCATTGCAAAACAAACAGTTTTTGTATTATTCAAAGTTCATCTTATAAATAAGTAATCTAAATACTCGATGAATCGATACTGAACTTTTTTCACCGCGACATTGACAAATATATAAGGCAAACTGTTTAAACGTTGTTAAGGCGTCAGCAAAATTCATTTATTTTATAAATGTTACGAACTTGTTCAGTCGGAACTAATTGATGACAGATGTTGTGTTTTGATGAGAGCTTTCAAAATAATTGGCTCCTGGCCGTGGAAAATTTAATCGATTTGCGGTAGCTATACGAAACACATAACGGTATATTTTTGTGTCAGAAACTGGCGATCATTTTCTGGATTAATAACGACAGGTTTGCATCAAATGTCAATTTTTTTCAATTGAAAGGATGTGATAAAGTCGACGTAAAAACATTAGAAAAATTCAATTTTCACCAGAAAATACGTCAATTAAGCTTATGTTGATTGATTCACATCTGCAAATGGACACGATCGCGTTCAATGCCAGTTTTTACAGCACTTCTCTTTAACTTCACTTCTTGTTTGTCGGTTTGTCTGTCTGTCTGCTACAAATCTTGTAATCGATTTTTAACACACTTCTACCTCTCCAATCGATCTGAAATTGTGCACACTTGCGTAAAGTTGGAGACAATGCATGAATCAATAGACAGAATAAATAATTTAAAAAAATAAAAAAAATTATTTTTTTTTTCAAGATTTAAAATATTGAAAAAATAATTTTGTCTGCTCCAAATCTTATAATCGATATTTAACACACTTCTAGCTCTCCAATCTATCTTAAATTTTGCAGACTTGCGTATAGTCGCAGAAAGCATTTGAATCAATTGACAGAATAAATAATTTTGAAAATTTAATTTCTTTTATGCATAAAAATCTTTTAAAAATTAATTTTTTTAATATTCGAAATGAAAATTAAAAATTCATTGTACATATTTTACATTGGAGACACTGGATTTTTTAGAAGTGTTGTCTTTAAAAAGTAATTTTTATAAGTATATTATTTTAGTAGAACTCACTAGTACCTCGGCTCTGTTTTGTATTTATTATTTAATCGTTTGTTTCTTTGAAGCCATTTACCCCATATGATATGTACAGGTGCTGATAGAGTGTGTATCCACAATTCATATGATATGGGGACGGGCATTTTTAATGGTGGAAATCTGTGACTCGGAAAAATAACGAATAGATTTAGATTGTAACTGAATTGTATTATTACTAATTTAACATAAATTTTCTGCAAATACCAATATCAAGCAAGCAACTAATGAGATAGTTGTCATAAAATAGAATAGAAGTGTCGGCACTGAAGAAATAGGCCCATGGTCTGTTGCCGATTCTTGTACTTTTCGTGACTTGATCCACAAAGGTTCCGGCCTTTTGAACCCGATCTTTCCATAACTGACGATTGATTGAGATAGCTGCTGGTCTTATTACCTGGTCCATAGGGTGCTAGCCATTTCAAGACTGAACATATGCTCCTGCATAGCTTCGTCTAGTCTGTTCTCGAAGGCGTTCATATTCGGAGCGTCAACGATGCTGTCAGAGAGACTGTTCCACATGTCGGTGACTCGAAGCGAAAAGAAATTTTGTCGCATGGATGTGTTACAACGCAGTTTTTTTTAGTTTATAGCCGTGGCCCCTGGTGTTGGTTGTTGTTTCAATTGCTAGTAATCCTTCTGGGACCTTGTACAAACCGTAGGTATACTTGTATACTTCAATTAGGTCACCACGCAGACGTCGATAACAGAGGCTTGGAAGCTTCATAAACTGTAACCTTTCTTCATAAGGCTTGCCTTTTTGAGTATTATCCTTGTTGCACGTCTTTGAACACTCTCGACTAAATTTTTGTCCTTTTCTAGTTTGGTGACCACACGGCGTTTCTAAACTCTAGGTTCCGACGCCCGACAGCGACAAACAACAGTTGCATCGCTTCAGCATCTGTGTACTCGTAGGAGCGTCTGATCAGTCCAAGTCGTATATTGCTTATTGGCTTTATTAACTTGAGCTTCAATATGCTTAGGAATTTTCAACTCATAACATAACATAGTGATGTCGGCGCTAAGGAGTAGGCCTGGTGTGGCCTGTAGCTGATTCTTGAACTTTTCGTGACTTTTCCACAGAAGATCTAAAATCGTGTCATTTGACCGGATCTTTTCAAGACTGACGATAGATTGAAATAGCTACTAGACTTCTACTGGGTTCGATATGGTGCTAGGCATTTTAAGTCTGAACATATATTCTTCCATAGTTTTATCTAGTCTGTTCTTGTCGACATAAACCCCGAGATCTATTTCCACACTAGACTTTTCAATCATTCCTCTCTCATTTTAACCATGTCTTCTCATACTGTATTCTTGCTGTTTATTGTTCCTCCCGTGGTGAATTACTTTACACTTGACAGCATTGTCGACATTAACTCCTAAATCTTTTTCCATTGTCGACTTCGACATCATCACTCAGTCGTTGCAACAGTGTCTTCTAATA